GCTTCAGCCATAAAGCCATACCAGTGTCTCTTTATGTGTGTGTGTGTGTGTGTGAGAAATGGAAACCACATCATTCTGTGTTGCTTGGTAGAAAGATACAGTGCCTGAAATGGATGTTTATCAAGGTTAAGGTTTGCTTTAGGTGTATGCTTAACTTACCACCACCTGAAATTAGAGTCAATTCAGTTAACATCAGTTAAAAAAAACATTACAGGATCACTCAGTTGCCACTGAGCTACAGTCAGGGGTGTCACAGAGGAAGGGATATCCCACTGTCCCTGGGATACGCTCTGGATCCACCCCAACCTTGACCAGGATAAAAAGCTTACTGAAGATGAATGAATGAATGAATGAATGGTGTAATTTTCAGTGGAGGCTCGTCCATTGGGGCAGGGTGGGCATCATATACAGTATATCAGCCATTCAACAAATGTCAATATTCATAAAGTTCTCATTCACAACTCCATACATTTCATTGAAATACTACTAATTATCTCTTTTGAGTGACCAACGATTTAAAAAAATATTTGATATCAGTGCCACATTTAGCTCCATAGAGTTATTATTGCACAAAGTGGTCAAAAACGTGAACTACAACAAACACTTAAAGAGGCCTGTTGGGGCTGAAATCATGCTGCCCCATGCTCAAGAGAGGAGCAGAGGACTTGGCAGGCCTGGGGTTGCCAGATTGGCTAGTTTAAAGAAGCCTCACGGCCATCAAGAACGTATTATATAGCAAATAATTGGTATCAAATCTAATGAGGTTCAGAAAGTGTGTCTATGATGTAAAGAACCATTCTACTGTAAGAAATATTTCAAAGATTGGGAGAAGAAAAGGATGTTTATGGAGTGGGTATTGTCCGTATATCTGAAATGTGTGTCAATTCTATTAGAGTATGGCGGCAGATCTCAGTGTACATGGAGAGAGGAGAATTTAGGTCTATGTTGAGCCCAGTTTATCTGAATCAGGATTTTGACCCTGGTATTTTTCCCCATTCTTCAAAGCATGGCACATAAAGTGGATTCGCGTGGTGGGGGACCGTTGTTCCAGGATGGTTCCCT